GGGCGCTGCTGAGGGGCTGCGGGGCTCGCTGGGGGCTGCGAGGGGTGTGTGCATTGCCGCGGTCACCCCTATTTCTTCCCACTTTTCTCCCGTCTGCACTTTCATTCCCCCGGGTGTTCTCCTGTTCCCACCCTCCCACGGCATTTCGTTTTCACCGCTGCTGTCCCGCTGCTGCCTCGTTTCGCTGCCACTGCCCGTATCTCTCTCTCGGCTTCTTGCCTGTGTCTTCTTCCTTTTCCCTGTCTTTCTCCCAATTTTTGTACAGCCTTCACGAGTGTAGCTTTGGTGATGTTTCTACTCTCTTTTGCAGTTTGCACTCAGCAGCACCCCATTTTAATTCCACATTCTCCCCATTTAGTCCATAATTTTCTCACAGATGGATGCCTGAACTGGAGCATCGGGGACATGGCCTTCTTCATTTCCTCCACAGGCAAGGAAATAACATGTTCCTGTACACACAAAGTTTTTCCTTACTTCTCTGATACCTGAACACTCAAGGGCACGATCCTGTTTGTTTTCTCCTTTATCTGCCCTCCTGATCTCCACTTCTCAATAATTCCTTGATAGTTCTTGCAGCTAAAGAGAAGGTCTTTGGAGAGCATCCTTTGCTGAACATGCCTGAGACAGCAAAGCCCGCTGCTATTACAGTTCTCACTGCATCCCTCTGTATACATAAGAGACAAAAAATATTTTTTATCCCAATGTTGTGTTCATTACATTACTTTAAGAATATGTCACTCTGTTTCCTTTTTCATTTTTCAGGATGAAAATTTCTAAGAAGGTGCTCATTGGAATCAATTTCAAGAGGATAGTTTAATTATGTTATGGAAAATGTGTAATCAAGACACTGATGTGCACTTGATACATCAAATTTATTTTCAGTGATGTTGTTAGTTGATTTTTTCTTCCTCAAGTTAATTTTAGAGTTTACTGAAAAACCCATTCAACAAAAAAACCTACAGTATACAAGCTGTGAAATATACTGTGACAGAAAATTGACAATGTTTTCCCCTGGGTTTTTTATTTTAATATGGAAAAAAAAATAGGGTAATCTTATTTTTCCTTTTCTAGCTTCCAATATATAATACATTTCCTCTGCTTCAGTATTCAAAGTCATTTCAAGAATTATATTGGAAGAAATCAATCCACCAACTTAGGTAACAAAAACTTTTGCATGGGCTAAGTAATTTCTGCCTCTCTACATTCTGAATATTTCCCATCAACTTGTTGTAAATTTACTATTTCATAGAACTTAGAGCAATACAGAATCATAGATTGGTCAAGATTGGCTTGTCCTTCATGTGTCTGGAAATCCAGGATTAGTTGCTCCATACCTTTCCCATGGATCTAGGTGAGGCTGACTTCCTTCCTAAGTAAACTGGAGGCTCAGACCCCTTGAAGTGTAGGGATAATTACATATTTCTTAATTAGATGATCACAATGAGCTGTTTTGCCTCCTCACTTAGTGTGCAATTATTCACCATATCATGTAGCCCTCAGACTGGATGCAGAATTATTCGTTCCCTTCTTTCCCCAGAATCCTGTGGGGATTAAACCAACCCCAGTGGATTTGGAGTGCTGAGAACTGGCAAAAGCATCCCATAAGATTTCTGGATCCTGTAGGTACAGTTTATTTGAGGATTTATGGATATGAATAACTTTTTCTATTTATAAGGTGTCTCTTCAGGGGCCTCAGGCTCAGCTGAGAAATCTGAAGGGAAAAACAGGATTATGAAGGTTTTACATGGTAGGGGATATGCAAGGTGCCAGCAGGTCTGGAGCAAGACACACGGATCCCATAAGGTAATGGAAAGACAGATTGAACTACCAGATTCTGCAACTACAAAATGTAGTGTTGATCAAAACATAAACATTTTGCAGATACAAATCAATTTCTGTAATTGTATTTCTTGGGGAAAACAAACTAACTAACAAAAGACCCCTTTCAATAAAGAAGAAAAGTTCTGTTTCAACAATTGCAAAAACTAACATTTAGAACAGCATTTCCAAATAATTTCATGTACCAAATTTTTTTCAAATAATATACAAATATTTGTATATATAATATATTTGTAATGTGTATATAATATACTAATACAAAAATAACGCCGAATTCTTTTTCTTTTCCTTTACAGTATAGTGTGTAATACATATTAATTTTATATTGTCAAGAGCTGTTTCTCAAAGAACATCTTAAATATTGGAATGGAGGCAGTTTTACAAAATCTACTGAACTGTTTAAAGGTTGGGGGTTTTTTTTGAAGACTTTCATTAAGGGGGAAAACCCCAAACCTGACACTGACTTTATTGGGAAGTATTGTGAATTCTTTAATCTAAAAAGAATCAAAATGGTTTCTAGATTAAGTATCTGCAGGGTCCAGCAGTCAAATGCAAAATGCTGTTCCACCAAGCTGAATGCTTCAGAGTAAGACATAAGGCGTAGGTAAAGGATAAAAAACATTTCCCATGAAAGCAGTGGGAGGTGATGTGGGACAAGGTAACAAAGTTACTGGCAGAGGAGCTGACAGTTACTGTCACTGTTCCTTGATTTCCATGGTGTTCTGCAAGCACCTCCCAGCCCTCTCTGAGAAACACCAAGGTGAGCCTGGGAAATAAAACTTCCAGTGGACAATTTATGAGAGAAGTCTGTGAAATGAGATCACACTAGTCGAGCATTTGAAGCGAAATAAATTAACAAAATACTTCAAAATTTGTCAAAGGATCCATTTGGATATGTTAAGTGGGTCTTCATGGTGGTCTACATACACCTGCTCCATTGTGGGAAATGAAGAACAATTCATCCCAAAATAACCCAGAGCGTGGCATTGACCTGGGAATTGTCAGATTGAATTCACTCTAGACACAGAGGATATGTTTCAAACTTGAGGTATCCAAGAATTATTGTTCATAAACAATTTTGGATCCTTTCAGATCAAAGAATTTAAAGGAGTACCACAAGGATTTGTGTGTTGCAAAACACAGGAAAAGCTTCTGAGCAAATTAATGCTGAGTAGCTGGCTGGCTGTGATATATGAAAAACCTGATTCCAGGCCAGAGCTGAAAGATATGAAATTGGAAAAGAAAGGTGATGATGATGATGATGATGATCCTGTTCCCTGCCTGCTGCTTTGTGTCCCTGCTCCTGCCAAGGCTCCTGGTGTCATCTGAGGGGTTAAGATGACATAAGGCAAGTGCACAGGAGGTTGTTCTAGCAGAGTGCAAGGTATAGTTGGAAGGACCTGATGAAGACAATTAGCTCTCCGGAGCGCTGAATTGTGTGGTGGGAATCACACTGGCTTACTCCCGGACCTTTGTTTATTTACCATTTTAAAGATACTGGATGTCAGCCAGCTGCTGGCTCTGTGAGGAGGCAAAGGAACTGGATGATTGTGTTTGCAAAGGGCTTTGCAAGTGGTAATTTAGGGGATAGTCACAAACAAGTGTAGTACCTAAATTTCACCTCAGAAATCCTTTCCCCAGCCGCTCACGCTGACCACAAACCACATCTTTACCAAGGACTCGAATAGCACAGAGACCACACGCAGAGCTGCACTGAACGTGCGCCTGCACTGTAGAACAAAAACGGAGACTGGCAGAGCCCCCTCACCTCCCTGCTCGGTCAGGGCAGACAAGGTGAGCTGCGAGCAGCCACCAGAGATCTGCGGGGAGTCTTGGTGGGAGCTGAGCAGCTGCACGTCAGAGCCCAGGCAGGGGCTTGGCGTGGGCAGCTCAGCCCAGAACCGCACACGCTGCCTTCGCCCCTCCAGCACCTCTCTTGGAAATGGCCTTTCCCTTGAATTTCATGGTTCTTTCTGAAGCCATTGCTGGGCTGTGCAATCCTTTCCAAAGGGACGGTCTGTGTGTCACTACGGGAGGCGGGACGGCGGGAAGGGGCAGGGCCAGGATGGACACTGGGGCCAGGTCGGCATCGCAGGGCGGTCAGCGTCAGGCAGCCGAGTAGACACCTTTGTAAGGAACGAAGGCCTTAGTGGTACCACACCAAAGATGGCGGCCCAGCCGGAAGCGGCTTCTGCCAGCACCCAAGATGGCGACGAAGGGATGTGTGTACGTGATGCCACACCAAAGATGGCATCTCACTTAGCAGTTACTTCCACCAGTGCCAAAGATGGCGGAACAACCCGGTGATCATGTGATGCCGCACTAAAGATGGTGTCTCATCCGGAAGCGACTTCTGCCAGTATCCAATGTGGTGGCACGAGCAGGAAGTCACGTGATACCACTAAAGAGGGCGTCTTAACAGGAAGTGACTTCTGCCAGCGCCCAAGGTAGCGGACTGCACCGGAAGTCACGTGACGGCACACCGAAGATGGCTGTCGGCACTAGGCCTATTTGACCTTCCAAAGATGGTGGGTTTTTGCGCATGCGCTTTGGGTAGGGGAGGAAATCGGGTCCTAGAAGGAGCGCGCGCCTCTCGGAGATAGGTGTTCAGTCACCTGAACCCCACCCCGCGCTTCCAGCGCGATTTTCCACGGCGTTTCCCGGTGTGAGGACACGGGCTGTGGGCCAGCAGCGTGCGAGGACACGGGCTCTGCGGGGACACGGGCTCTGTAGGGACACGGGCCGTTGGCCAGCGGCGCCGGGAGCTGGCAGCAGGATGCAGCTCCTCTCTCGCAGGAGGTGCGAGGTGGCGGCCGGAGCTGGAAGCAGGGTTTGCCAGGCAGGGCCAGCAGAGAGAATTCCCGCTGCCAGCCTCTCCCTGGGAGTGCTGGGCGGACTCGGGCCGGGGAGCTGGGAGGTGTGGGGGGTGTTCATGTCCCCGGGAGCTGCTGTAATGGCAGCTGGTAGCAGCCTCGTGTGTCTGTGTGGAACCAGCCACAGCGCTGGCAGCCGGGTGAGAGCTGGGAAATGAACATCAGCGGGCTGGAAACAAGACACAGAAATGGGTTAAAATGGGATGGACTTCTCCCACGCATCTAAAAATAAAAATCCTTTTGGTTTTGCTTTAGGAATTCAACACTGGAGTGACTCCCGAGGTGTTGGCATTTGTTTTACTGTAGTTTTGATGAGGTGCTGCCTCCGTGCCTTTCTCACAGCTGCTGTTGGCTCAGCAGGTGCCCCTGGTGTCCCTGGGAGCTGCTGGTCTGTTCTCCCAGCCCAGTGGTACACTGGAGACAGCTCATGCTGCTCCCAAGGGGGAATTCTGCCTGCAGGGACAGTTCTGGTGCCATTGGAGCCCTGGTGAGAAGGGAGGGCTGGCAGTGACAGGTTTGGGATGCTCTTCCTGGGGCACGCACGTCCCTCCCTCCCAGGCAGGCTCTGGGCTTGGATTCTTCGGCTGACACTTGCCAAGCACTGGAAGGGCCTTGGCTGTGCAGGGAACAAAACATTTAAGGGGAAAGCAAAGCTGGGGATGTTCTGGCTTCAGAAAGAGGCTGCAGAAAGATCCTTTTGGAAGGGACAGTGAACTTTTCCAGCTGTGCCAAAACGAGCCAGTGGGATGTGAAGGTGTGGGACAGTCTGGAAGGTTCCTTGTGCCCAAAGGATCATGGCAAGAGCAGCACTAAAAAAGTCTGCAGTAAATCTTGGAGTGCCTTTTGGTGCCTGTTGAGCTTGGAAGAGATATTGAGTGTGGAATTGCAGGGAAGCTGCCCTTGCTGGAGTGGTCGGAGGGAGAAGCAGTGGCAGCTGTTTCCTAGCAGCTGTTTGTCCACCTTCCCCTCAGTCCCCTGGAGCTCCAGGTCACCACACCACCTTTGCTTTTCCAAGGGGTTTTTTGCTAAAGGGTTTCTAAATGAGGCCGTGGGCTTTGCCACCGTTGGATTTTAATTCTGCTTGAGGAAGTGTTTCATTGTAGGGTCTGGGATTTACCGGTCCCCATGCCAGGTTCACTGCAGTAGAAGCAGGCACATAAAGCCCAGGGCCTGGACTGGGATGCTCCAGTCCCCTGCCAGGCACAGGGGTCGTTGCTTGGTGTTGATTCTCCAGTCCTGTCTGCTCAGGCCTTGTTCTGACCTGCTCAGCCATAAATGCCATTGCAGGAGGAGCAGAACATCCCACAGCTCCTGTGGATCACTTGTTGCACTGACTTTGTGCTGCAGCCTAAGCTGTGGGGCCTGAATTGCCTCCAGGCAGCCAGGATTGTTCCCAAATGCCACCCTCTGACTCCATAGGGTTGTTTTCCTCCAAGCCCAGGGGCTGTTTCAGTGGTGCTGTGTGCTGCTCTTGCCTTTGCCTGCTGTAAGCAGCTTTGTGCTGCAGCTCAGTGAAGTCCAGTTCGGTGCTTATGGTGTGGGATTTTTGTGTGTGATAAAAGTCCCTGTCAATTCCCTCTGGAATGGCTGCATCCCTGGATTGGGACTAACTCAGCTCTTCCCCTGCTGCAGTTCTCTGCTGCTCTCAGGAGAGGATGGAGCTGAGGGTCCTGAGCAAAAATGATCCATCAAAGCCAGGGCAGTGCTCACAGCCTGGATCTGTCCCTGCTTTCAGAGTTCCCATGACTGAGAAGCAGAAACAAGGAAAACAGGCTCTGTTTCTTTGCTCTCTCCACCTCAGTCCTCACAACTTCCCCCATGCGCTCCATGTCTCTGAGCAGCATTTCTGGACAGCTGCCACCCCTTCTTTACAAAGAAAGGGCAAAGGTGCAGAGGGGGCTTTAGGAAGTGCCAATCCCTGATTGTGTCTGCCTGTGCTTGCTGTAGTTCTCCTGCCTGGAGAGACCTCCATGGCCTGGGGTTTGTCTAGGAAAGTGATCTTATTAAATTTGTTACAAACTGATGTTTGTAGACACCAATTTCTGATGGGAAACGTCATTTTACTTTTGCCTTTTCCAAGTTTTTTCCAGGTGCTGCAGAGGATGAGCATCTGTGTGCTCAAACTGAGCCAGGAGTCTGTGACTTCCACAGGGGACTTAATTTTCTTTTCTTCCTCTCTTTTAAGACAGGAAAAATCACTAATTGCCCCAGCAATGCTGAAAGTTTTGGTGTTTGAGCAGCCAAACCCAGCAGCCTCTGACCCTGCTGGCCTGCCTCTGCTCCTGCCCATTCTGTGGGGTGGGTCAGAGGGACACAGGGTTCCTCTTCTCCTCTCTGCTGGGTTTAACTCCCTAGGGCTCACTGAGGCTGGGAATTGCATCCAGAGCATGTTGAAGCTCCTGGTGCCTGGGACTGTGGTGTTTGGTGTGCAGAAAGCATCCCAGGCTGACTTGGGTCTGGATGTGCATTGCCACAGTTTCTCGGAGTGGGAAAAGGCCAGGAGGGTGCTGGGAAGGGCTTTCTCCCAGGCCTGAGCATCCTCAAAACACCTCAGGGATGTTTTTTAAATGTTTTTTGTCTCTCGTTTCCCAGCCCAGGGCTAAGCTGGAGAAAAGGTGGAGAGTGGCAAGCAGGAGTCCCATGTTTGGATCCACCCTTGAATTCCAGTTCCTCCTGGTGGGTCTGTGCTGCCCAAAGTACAGAGAAAGGAGATGTTGGAGTTCCTGTTTGTTCACCTGCTGAGCTTGGAAGAGACTCTGAGTGTGAAATTCCAGGGAAGCTGTGCTTGCTGTAGTGACTGGAGAGAGAAGCAGTGGCAGCTGTTTGCTGTGTGCTGGTTTCCCACCTTGGCTTCCGCTCCCTGGCACTCCAGGTAATCCCACACCACCTTTGCTTTTCCAGTGCTTTGCTGAAGGGTTTCTGAATGTGGCAGTGAGCTTTTCTGTACTCCCCATTGTTGTTATAGAGCACGACACAGCACAAAGTACCACGACTTCATCAGAAGGGTGCAAGAGAGATATATTATAGCAACATGTTGCTTTTATACTCTTGCAAGATATTTACATTTACTCAACATACACAGTCACTGCCCATTGGTTATAAGAAAGAAACAAAGTTCTCAGTAGGTGAACAAGGAGCCATGTCATTCTGTGAGCCAGCTAGAGTCCGTATCTTTTCACTTTCTCTCCTTCATCACGTCTGCATGGTGACAACCATGGTGTCTTCCTCAGGAGAGATACGGGGCTTTCCTTATCATCAGGAAGCTTTTGCTGGCTCAAAAGAACAGCACAGAATGTCTTCCCTACAATTCCCCCTTTTTGTATTTGACCCGCAAATACAACTGCTAAGGACTTCTGCAGGGCCCTTGCAAAAATCCAAGCAGATGGAGAATCCATTCTTCATTCACTTACAGATAACCAACTTCTACCAACTCCACAACACACACCCTCACAATCCTAATGTTCATGTACAAACAAGGCACATAAAAACAGATCTTCAAATACCATTACAGACCTCGGAATTTCCAGATGACACATTTGTAGCAGAATGACACCTTCACCTATAATCAAATAACTTTCTCCCACACAGGATCAGAGACCAAGTCATCTGCCTTGTCACCACTTAGAACCAAGTAGCATTCACTTAACTTTACAACTGCTATCATAGTGGGCAACCAACCTAGTTGCTCAAAGTGTGGACTTCAGCTACTAATTCAACCCCTGTGCAAAGGCAACACTTCTCCCTTAGGTGCATCAAATTCCCCTATTTTGGGACCGTCGGTGCCCTGCAAAAGGAAATGGTACAAGACACATTTCTCAGTACTACCAACCTCTCTATAGGAGAATTCAAGGAAAAGAAGCAAAAGTAATGTCCACTAACTTAAAATTTGGATTTTTAGCGTAAGCCTATAACTCCCTTTACTCTGTCTTAAATTACCATCTTTTGTGGTATCTTGTTTTTGGTTTGCCCCAGTTTCCCCCCATTCCTTGGTCTTTGGTTCGATCTGGAAATCCCCTACCCTGGTTTGTTATATGCCAGTCTCCTGATCCCTCCCCTGTTTCCATAGTTACTTCAATGTATCCAGGTTCTGTCCACCCCGAGCTCCCTGCCCGTCACCCGGCGACCCATCCCCTATCTCCAGAAACTTCTTTCCAGGGCATTGGGTGGTTGGTCAGGAGACAGGGGCCCCTCCCCTAAGTTCGGTTCATTTGTTGGGTTCACTTGTCATCCAAAGCCGACTCCACCCCTGCTTTGTTTCAATTGGTTCTTGTATGTCACCACCCCTGCCCACCCCCTGCATTTATAAACTCGCTCCCTTCAGAGTTTTCCTGTCTCCGAAGGCTCCCTTCCCTCAGCTTCCCCCAGTGTTCTGTTACTGGTCAATAAACCAGTCGAGTTTTCTACCTTCCTTCGGAGTCCTCCCTTCTTCCTTCGTGTGGTTCGTGATTGTGTTCGCGAGGCGTCCGTGGACCCACCAAGGCGCGGACTGAACTTCGAGTTCGGCAAGCGCCCCACCACTGCGGGCTGGGCTGGTAAGCTCGCCGGGCACCTCCTCTCCACCTGCTAACCAGCGCAACCGCAATCTTTACCACACATTCCTTGAGGGTCAATGCTTCCATGTCAATACAATTACCTACTCATTTTTCTTCCACTGTAGAACCACCCATCCTGTCCTTTTCTGTGTGCTCCAAATAAGGTTTAACACAAGGGGCAGAGACCCAATGAGGGCCATTTTCTGTTAAAACACATGCATATTCTCTTTCCCATGTTACTAATTCCACTGGCCAGTCCACTTTCCCATGATTAAATCTTTTACCCATACCTTAATACCTTTCTTAAAGTTTGGCTGTTTTGAATTCAAAGACAAAAAATGACAGAATATAGGAGACACTTGTAAGTCAGGTAAAGGATGCAGAAAGTTTAAGACATAGACGGCTTTTTCTAATCTCATTTGAGGCGACTCCCTCTGCATTTCCCCTTTTTGTTTTTGTACCTGGCGCTTCAACACATCATGAGCACATTCAGTAATTGCTTGGCCTGTTGGAGCATGAGGGATACGAGTAGAATGACCAACACCCCAGGCACGAAAAAACACTTGCAATTTCTTTGAAACATACACCGGGCTGTTATCCATCTCTACATGTGGTGGAACACCTAAGATGGAAAAGGCGTGGCAAAAATGATGAATAACATCCCGAGCTGTTTGACCTGCCAATGCTGAAGCAACCATGGCATGAGAAAAGCTGTCAATTTGTAACGTGAACATATTTTAAACGGCCAAATTCAGGCATTTTTGTAACATCTGTTTGCCATTCCTGCAAAGGGAGTAAACCTCTAGGATTAGTACTGTAATATTGTGAAACATGAGACATATGACAATCAGGGCAAGAAGAAATAATTGACTTTGCTTCACTATGTGATAATTTAAATTGCTGTTGTAGTGCCTGAGCACTCTGATGAAAAAATTGGTGAGCTAGAACAGCTTGTTGTAACACATTAGGCACTGTTTTTACTGCTGAGGCAGCCACAAGGGAATCCACATAGGCGTTACCTTCAACAAAGAATCCTGGTAGCGATGTATGGCTACGAGTATGCATAATAAAATAAGAATGCTTTCGATTACAAATAACGGTCCACAATTTCAGCAACATAACAAATAATGGTTTCTCCTTTACATTATACAACACAGCTTGATCCAACTGCTTCACTAAATTAGCAACATAAACAGAGTCAGTAACTATATTTACAGAACTAGAAAATAAGGTAAAGGCCAAGAGTACGGCACAAAGTACAATTAACTGGGGAGACTTTTGTTGAACCATTACTTCATATTCCCAGTGGTCATCTTTCTTCTAGGCTACAGTAGCTTTTCCAGTTCTTCCTGATCCATTTGTAAAAACTGTTGCACCTTCCACTGGCACAGAAGAGCAAAGGTGTTTCCCCTGAAAAGGAATCCTCTTAGTGAAATTCAAAATAGGATGAGAAGGTAAATGATATGCTATTTTACCTGTAAAGGAAGATAAAGCAGATTGCAGCTCGTGATTGTTTTGAAAACACAACTCAAAATAGCATTGTTGTACCAGTATCACAATAGTTACAGGATCACGGCCTAAGATTTCTGCGACCTTTGATAATGATGTCTGCAAAAAGCTCATACAGACCTGGAGCTGTTTTTCGGGACTTGAAAGACAAAAATATCCACTCCAAAATATGCAATTTATCTTCCCATTTATCATTCAATTGACACAACAATCCGCATGGTATTTCATCATCTCTCAAAATAAATAATTGCACACCAACAGAAACATCTATCCTGGTAACAAATTTAGATGTCAAGGCCAATTCAACTTCTTGTACAGCCTTTTTTGCTGCAGCAGTCAAATGTCTCTCATCAGTAGAGGAAGTTATCCCTGACAGTAAGTCATACAAAGGTTGCAGTTGATGATTGGTTATCACCAAGTATGGCCTAAGCCAACCTATTGCACCAACCAATTTCTGTATGTCAACAGCGGTTTTAATATCAATGTCCAGTTTTACAGGTTGAGGCACAATTTGTGTATTGGTGATTATCAACCCCAAATATTTCCAAGGCATCTGTCTTTGAACTTTCTCCGGGTGATAACCAAACCAGCTAGAGTGTACACATTGTCCAGCAGTTTGAGGGCATTGGGTCTTCACATGCCCTGATTCTTCACAAGCAGAACATCTGGGTGAGGACTTCATGACTGTTGCCAAAGCAACCATTTTATGCTCAACCAACCCAACCTTTGAGCAAGCAACTACAAGATCAGACAGTGAGGGATCTCCTGGTAAAGAATCAATAATTCTCCTGCAATCATCATTCGCATTTTCCCATGCTAGCTGTCTGCATAAAATTTGCCTCAACCTATCATCTTCTACTTGCTTCTCAAGGGCTGCAGCAACCCTCTCCACAAACTGCAGAAAAGGTTCCTTCACCCCTTGCTGGATGGTAATATACCTCAGTTTAGGAGCTGCCATTTCCATTGTTTTAAGTAAGGCACTCATACCCAGCTGCTGGGCCTGTGCAAGAACCAGGGGATCCCATCTTGCCTGCAAATCTGGGTTAGAGAACGATCCATTGCCCAGCAAGGCATCAACTCCTACAGCGTGATGTGGATCATGCTGAGGTAACTGCATATTGTCCAATGCTACCCTTTCAACCATTTGTTTCCAGGTAGCTTGAAACACAGCATACTGCACTGGCTGAAACAGAATTGTAGCAAGGTGAACAGTACCATAAGGTGCAAGTACATCAGCATTTAGAACACGAATCACTTGCATCACCTGCGAAGAGTTAACACCATACTGATCTACTTTTGACTGAAAGTCCTGAACAACCCTCCATGCAAAAACCTGATGACTATCTTGAATTAGGAGCAGCTTTGAAAACAAGAAAAGCCACAGGCCCACCAGAAGCAGCAGCAGCCATCTCCATCCTTTTAGGTGGACCTATTTTCTCTAACAAATTCCAATCTCCCACTTCAGTTGCTTTCATTCTCACATGCTCCCAAAATTGCAAAGGTGTTGAGGAGTCACAGCCACCTGGCAGGGAGGCAGAGTCCAAGAAACAGCAGGCCTGGATCTGCTACGAGGTCTAACAGAAACAGATTCCTGTGTCTTTTAGGTGTACTTATGTCCTGGTTTAGGGCAAAATTGGGAGAGAATCTCCAAAGGGGGCCCCTCCAGAAAGCAAGCCCACACAGCCCCTCCCCCCAACCGGTTCGGGAAGGATTCCTCGGAGAGAAGTGGAAAGAACCTGTTTATTTAACAGGCACAGCATCCCCCAGCACACAAAATGAACAATACCAGATGACACCGCTCTGAAAAAGGTGACAAACTCAGAAAGTCTCT